CATGCCTTGGTTATAGGAAAGCCTGAAGGGAGAAATGTGGCTGCTCCAGGGCGTGCATCTCTCCTCCTGGAAGCAAGACCTCAGATACCTGCTCAGCTGAGGGGGTGGGTGAGAGCCCCAGTCAGCTGCCCTGTTTGCTCATGACCTTTCCATTAGATACCATATTTAAAGTTTCATGTTTTCTGGCCCGGGTTTTTTGGGGACCTGGGGTCAGTTAGGGGGATATTAGTTTGAAGAAAAAAGGCTGGATTCAAGCCCCAGCTGTGGGACAACTTAGGGTGAGTCACGGCCCAGAAATGCAGTGTCAGGGACTGAAGCCAGAGGGGAAAATATTTATAACTGCCGGAAACATGATGAACCTGTCAAAAATACATGAAATCAGCTAAATAAGTTGGGAAGAAAAAAGCAAGGTCTTGTTTTGTTTTGTGAGTGTGAACATTTTTTAAAAAAATCACCAAGAAAGAGAAAAATAATTCCTCTACATACAACTGTCTTATGTGAATGATGTTTGGGGGAAATTGAGGAAAGTATCTGTTCCCTTGAGCTGAAGCAGGTTAGAGAGAAGGGATTAGCTGTAGGAGGCAATTGGGAGAGAGATTATGAATTCAGTGGACCCAAGAGATCACAGCCAACATAACCATGGGGCTACAGCCCTCCCCCCCGAGAATCTTGGGAGATTCGGAGTGAATGTGGAGTGGGGGTGGAGATGTTTTTATCTATATCTGAGCAGGAGAAAGGAGCTCTTAGGATGGATGGACAAGCACCTAGGCCACTGCTGTTGGGTAGAGCAGGGTCTCTCTGGCTGCCCAGGTTCTGGGACTGAGAGAACTTGTGTTCTGGGAGGAACCAGGGGGGCCTGGGTGGATCTGAAGCAGAGGAAACTTAGATTGAAAAGGAACGGTTTCCACTGTAGCAAACACTAGGGTTCAGAAAGAATGTTGTTTCCTGGGCAGCCAGAGAAAGGGAACCTGGGATTCGGCCAGCTGCCCAGGATGCCAAGCTGGGGTCAGAGAGACTGGAGAGGCGTTGGAGATGCTGGAGGAGAGATGGGACCATTCCTGACAGGTCTGATGGGCAGCTAAGGAGCCTGGACCTCGACCTGGCCGCGGTCGGCCCAGGGGAGGGACTTCAGAAAGAGACTTCTATGGGCCACAGCAGAGGAAGGGTCAGCGGGAACAGATCAGGGACAGAGAGGCTGGCCAGGGGGCGCCACACAGCCCCGTGAGCAATAAGGAAGCTGGGCTCCGAATCCAGCCTCCAGAACCTTCCTTGTGGTGTGCCTGGAGGCTGGCCTGAGGGGGTTCCCACTGAAACTCGCTCCAGGAGGGTAAAGGGGGAGCGTGTCTGCAACTGATTAATAGTGACTGCCCGGAGCCTTGTCAGGAGCTCCAGCCCGGGAGAAGAGCCACACTGATGGGTGATGTCTGCCGTGCGGGCGGCGCGGGGTGTGGCAGCGTTCATTCATTCATCCCCACACGGTCAAGAGCTGTCCACCGGCTCCGTGCCAGGCCCCTGCACTCCGAGGCGGTCCTCTGCAGGTGTTCAGGTCCCAAAGGCTCAGCTGCAGAAAGAGCAAAACAGCCCCAAGGCCAGGCTCCACTCCGCTCTAGACCTTCTCCCTCGGAGCCTCTTGAAGGTTTTGGAAAAGGCCTGTGTCCCATTCTCTCAGGGTCTTGAACAAATTAGCTGCTTGGTAGTTATTTGTGGAAGGAGGAAAAGAAATGCGTGAATCACCATATTTTCCACTTTTTATTCATTTAACAGAGAAACCAATATATACATTTTGCAAGGCCTTTTCGAGGATTTGGAAATGAATTAGACCCAATCTTTGCCCTCTAGGAATTCATAGCACCATCTGGAGGTTAGACATGTGCCCTAATATCTGTAAAACCAGGTTGTTGTGGGTAAATCCAAGTTCCTTGCAGGTGCCTGGCTTCAGGAAGGCAGACAGAGCTCGTCTGGGGCCCAGGATCTGAGAGAGGAGACCAGAGCCAAGGTGAGAACCAAGATGGGGGTGGGTAGCGGAGGATGAAGCCAGCTGCCCTTCCCCTCGGCCCCTCCCCATGCCCCCCAGGGAGGGCTCCCTCCATGCCTCCCTGTCCCCCTGGAGCCTGGAGACAGACCACAGCTGAGCAGGAGGGGCGACAGCAAGAGGTCAGAGTGAAAATGGCAGTACAAATCCCCTTCGAGGAAACAGAGATGTCCAAGTCTTGTTCTGTCACTGGGCCACTGGAGAGGACTTTGTCACTCAGAAAACAGCATGGCAAGAGGGAGGCAAGTGCCGTGCCCAGCCCCCCAGCTGGCCACCATGGCTGACCACAGCACAGCGCTGGCCTCCGCCTAACGAGCGGCGCCCACATCACTGCCCCAGACCGTGGGCACAAAGGGCCTCTGTTCCTCCAGCTCCTGTCTCAGTCCCCACACACAGTCGCCCAGTTCCCCAGCCCTGGGTCCTGCCCCTCCTCCTCACTGGCTGGTGAGGAAGGGGAGAGGGGCGAGGGTGCGGTAAAGGGGAAAGGACGGCCCAGGGCCTTGGAGGACTTGGGGTGGTGGAGGGAGGGGAGGAGGAGGTCTCAGGCCGGAGTGGTGGGCCGCAGGGACCCAAGGGAGCATGGAGTCCACCCGGGGCCCTGGCCAAGCTGTGAGCCCAGACGGGGGCCCAGGGGCTTGTGGACCGCCCTCCCCAGAACTTAAGCCTCTCTTCTGGGATGGTCCGAGGCCGGAACCAGGAAGCAGTGCAGCCTCCGTGCATCGAATTTTTGAAGAGCCTTGTGAAGCTCAGTGGAGCAGCAAGCTCTGAGTCCTGGAGCCGTGCTCTGGAGTTTTTGTCCTGCGGAGAGCAGGGAGCACGCGGGCTGCACGAACCAGGCACACACACAGAGGTACACGCGCAGACGTGTGTGTGGGCACACTCACGCAGGTGCCCTGGGTCCCTCTGCGGCTGGTGACTGATGAGCCATCACGGGCATGTGGGGTCGCGGAACCCAGAGCAAACAACAAAGCAGGAGGGTGTGCCACAAACGAGCCTGCAGGGGCTCCATGACCAAAACCCTCAGCTGGACTGGGACATGAAGAGGGTGGCTCTTCATAATTTTTATTTGGGCGAGGGTCTTCTTGAATGGTTGCTTATGTAAAACCATCTGAAAGACTGTCGAGAAAATCTGAATCTAACTTAAACCGATTTCCCTTCCCCGGGAATATATGCAAGTGCGTATATGGGTGTGCATGTGGACACAAGAAGGAGTGTGTGTTTGTGTGTGTGCGTGCAAAAACACAAACTGCTGTGCTGGTGGGGAAGCTGGAAAAAGAAAGAAAAGCATAGACTTTTAATCAGTCCTATACATACGAGTGTGTGCATGTGCACACAGAGCCATAAACACACACACATCCAGCCAGCCGCATTTTTGGCCCAGTGTGCGTCCCGTATCAGTGATTCTAAACTGCTTTTATGTCCGAGAGCTGAGCCCACTTAAACCAGTAGCTCTCAGCCTTGCTGGCACATTGGAATCAGGGAGTTTTTAAAAATCCCAATGCCTAGGGAACACTCCAGACCAATACATCAGAATTTCTGGGGATGGGACTTTGGCATAAATACTTCATATCAATATTTAATCATCTCCTTAGGTGATTCCAATGTCCTGCCAGGGCTAACTGTTCCTATGCATAGAAAGCCGTTCTCTCATTCCTCTGCACAGAAAACTTCTATTCATCCTTCAAGACCCAACTCCCATGGCCCCTTTGGAGGAAAGCTCTTCCTGACACCTGCCTAGGGAGAATTAGTTTTTTTCTTTCCTGAAGTTCCCAACAACATCTTAGACCTCTGACTGCATCATAATTATTTGCTTGTCTGTACAGAACCATGACTTCTGTGAAGACAGGTGCTGTGTGAGATCCATCTCTCTATTGCCAACAACTAGCTTGATGTCTGATATGCAGCTGATGACCCATAGATGCTTCAGAATGAAAGGGAAGTACGTAATGAAGGCCAGGAACAAGAGAGGGGTGGGGAGTGGAGGCCATGTGTTGTTTCTGGGTGGGAAGGCCATAGGTCTGATCCCCTGGCAGCAGGTTGGGGGTACCTCCCCACCTTTTAATAACAGAAAGGGTCCTCTTATGTCAATAAGTCTGATGCTCATTGGTCCACATCTCCTGTTTCCCTAGGAAGTGCCACAGCTATTACTCAGAAATTCAGAGAGACAAGTGAGTGGGGTTGTGACCTGTGCCTGGAGTCCTAGGTGACCAACCTTTCTACTCTTTTTAGATTTATTTAAAGAGAGAGTGTGTGTGTGCGAGCAGTGGGAAGGGCGGGGGGTGGGGGGAAGAGAGAGAGAGAGAATCCTCAAGCAGACTCCCTGCTGAGCATGGAGCCCAACTCGGGGCTCAATTCCAGGGCCCTGAGATCATGACCCGAGCAGAAATCAAGAGCCAGCTGTTTCACCAACTGAGCCACCCACGCGCCCCCAGGTGACCAACTTTTCTTAAGCGTCCCCTTGTTGCCCTTATCCCAAGCCCACTCTGTCTGGCTGGCTTCCAGGGCACCTTTGCTCTGAGGAGTGCTCTGAGCCATCCAGATCCCCTGCTTCTGTCCCAGATCCCCGCCCGCCCAACAACCTGGTCCTTGGCAAAGGGCTGTGCCTGGGAAACACTCGTGCAAGGGAAGGAGGCTCCTGTCGGGGCCTGCAGACACTCCGGCCCCAGCCCAAGAGCCTGAGGAGCAGACAAGAGAGGGCATCCCTGGGCTGAATGAAGTGAGTGAGGTCTGAAGTGGAAAGAGCTCCTCACGTTTCTGACCAGGCCTCCTGGTCACTAGTCCAGGCTGAGGTCATGGTGAGGGCCCCCTATCCCCTTGCACACACAGACGCACACACTCACACACTGCCCACTTCCTGAAGGGTTCTCGACCTCTAGGCCGAGACCAGCCTCTCCCCTCCCGCACAACTGGCCCTCAACTGACCAGCCAAAGTCCTGGTTACCCACAGAGTCCATTCAACACAAGCAAGTGTTTTCTTTACATGTTGGGGCTTTTACTTCAATTTGAAGCAGATGGTTGAGCACAGATGTGAACAGCTTTGGCCTTTTGAGCACAAGGAAGGAACAGGCCTTGGCTTTGAACATGCCCCCCACCCCCACACCTTCCCCAACTTACTGACCCGTTCCCCTGGTCCCTTCCTCCCCTCTGCCCCTCTGCATAACTGGGAACAGACTACTGGCCTTCATGCAGGGAACCACCTTGTTTTCCCAGCCAGGAGGGTGGGCCACAGGCAGGGAGTGGCTGGCTGGGCTGGCTGGGGAACAAAGACCCTTTAGGTGACCCTGGTGGGGCAAGTCCCTGGGGTAGGGTACAGGATGGTCAATATTGCTTCTTTCCACCCCCTTCCTCCCTTGCCTTGATGCTCAGGGCCCAAGGAGCCTGGACCCAAGGAACACTGAGAATCAGGGTCAGAGGCCTGGGCAGCCAGTGGGAGGGCAAGAAGAGGGCCAGGAACTCATATCCCACTCCACACAAGCACCCCCAGCCCCCTCTCGCCGCCCCCAGAAAGTTTATCTTGTACCCAGCCAGCTTAGGGCCCAGTGCAGAAAGAGAGTTCCAGGTCAGAGGGTTGAGCACTTCCATGGTCACCAAATGTCCATCCCTTCCATGAGTTTCCAGTGGGATTGCTGACTCGTCTTTGGCTTGGGATGGCTTTGGCAATAGGAGGAGCAAAAGTCATAGAGCAATGGTGTGGCTTCTCACTGTGGGCTGTTATCGCCACAATTTGTTCAGTGTCTCTGTGGAATCTTTGGCAATGAATTTCTGCAGCCCCGGGCAAGGGGGAGGCTTTGCTCTCCCCTCCCCACCAGGCAGAGGGCAAAGTGCGGAGTCACCAGAGTGGCTGAGGGGGGACAGGAGGGTGAGAGGGAGGCCGATGTGCCCCTGCCTCACCCTGAGAGGCAGTGGTCCGAGCATCTGGTGGCATCTTGGAGAAGAAGACAAGGCTGGATTTGGAGAGCTCACCTTCTCCTCGGGCTTGACCAGAAAGAGGGCCCACAGCAGCATCCTTGGCCTAGCCTGGGGCCAGTCACTCCTGAAAGAAACAACCAACGGTCAGAAGAAACCCTACTCTCCTGACTCCTGTGTCCTAAAGGCCAACGGTCCCAGGTGCTGGCACCCTCAGCACCTCCTCTCATTTACTCCTTGCTGCTGCCCCGGGAGGCACTGGTATGGCCCAGGCAGGGAACTGCATCTTGATGGGGCTCAGTAAGTGACGGAGCCAGCATCTGAACCCAGGACTGGCCGTCCCCAGAGCCCACCCTGTCCCCTGACTCCCCAGTCTGCATTTGAGAGCCACTGCTAATTTTGCCAGTTTGGGGAAATGGGCAGGGCTGCAGGGGCTAGAGGGAGCTCAGGGATACCTAGTGCTGATCACACCACCCTCCGGGTCACACCCCATGGGAATGGTCATCCGCAGCTCCTTTTCCCTCAATTGTTCAGACAAGAGCACTATACCTGGAGTCAAGGGGCCAACTCGAGGTGCTGCCCATCTACCTGCCACCTGGGGGTCCCTGAGACAAGTCACTTAACTTCTCTGGGCCTCGGCGTTCGCATCTATAAAATGACACAGCTGGACCAGGTCAATAATTGTCAAACTCTCTTTTAAGCAGTAGAAATGAAGTTTGACCTGGGGAGCCCTACACAGAAAACAGAGAAACATGGTCTGGTGTATTTGCAGCAGCAGGGTGGGGGGACACAGGGCAAGGGGGTCGCAGGGTGCATTCCCTCCAATGTGAAGCTTGGGACATCTCTGGGAACCCAGGGTGCTAAGGAGCACGGTTTGGAAACCACGGAGGTTAGACCATCTCTAAGGGCCTCACCGTGCTGACCTCTGGAACCTTCGCTCTGGCAGCTGGGCTCGCAGTTGCTCCTGAGAACAGTGACCACAGGGTGTGACTTGCTACCAGGAAGGGACAGGAGATGGGGCAGGGTCACAGGGGCTGCTGGGACTTTAGGAGCTGTGGGGGAGGGTCTGTGAGGACACGACCTCCCAGAACAGGCCAGAATAATGGCAGTGCCTTAACCTGGTGCAGCCCGCTCCTACTGAAGCAGCTCCAAATACAGCTTCTCTGTGATTCCTGCGACCACCCCGAACAAACAGCTAAGTTGCATGTTTTTGAAGCAAAACCTCTGCGGGGCACCTCCACCACGCCAGGGGGCTTGCTCGCATCCCCCATCTCAGAGGTGAGCTATTGCCCCCGTTTGGAGGAGGCGCAGGAAGCTGGCCACAGCAGGATCTGAATCCGGATGGACAGTGTTTATTCTACCACAGAGAAGCCGCTCTGGCTCAACTGCAGGCTTGGGGAGCCAGGATGCCGCCAAACCACGGTTCTGGAGGGCCTGCCAACCGCAGGCCCCGGGGAGCCTCGCAGGCCTGGGGCGCTGGGCTTGGCCGGCGGCAGGGCTGGAGGTGGGGGTCCGAGGAGGAGGGGGGTTCGCCCAGCTAACGGAGGCTGAGGAGGGAGGAAGGAGCATCCTGACGCGGCACATCCAGGCTCACCTCCTCTGAGCCCGCCGTGCGGAGTGCGGGGCCGGCCCCGGCAGGAATCTGCTTCCTGGGACAGAGTCTGAGGAGGAGGATTAAGAGGCGGGAAGGAAACCCGTGGGGAGGGCACGGGGTCTGTGGTCCAGGGGTGATTTACAGCCTGCGTCAGCCGGGCGCTGGCTGCCTGGGCGGGCCCTCTCGGTCCGCCCGCCTGCGGTCTGGGGGAAGGCGCAGAAAGCTGGCTCGGCCAGCGGCCCGAGCTGTCCTACTGGCCACTCCGTCAAGGCGCCTGTCCCAACCCCTCTGCTGGCTCTCGGACCCTGCGGAAGCCATGACTACCACCCAAGAGCAACCAAGAGCAATGGAGCCGGTTCCTCTCGCCAAAGCCTGACCTTCAGTGCTCCATCCCACCCTTGCCCTGGTGTCTACCCTGGACCTGGGCTCCCACCGCCCACCTTGGGGCAGGAATCCCAGCACGTGCACCAACCATCCAAGGAAGTCTTATGCCAAATGAGGCATGGGTGGAAGAATACTAGGAGGTTTTAGGTGCCAGGACCTCCTCTGAGATTAACCTTGGGAAACTTACCCTCCCTCTCTGTGCCTTAATTCCTTCACTTATACAGTGAATATGTGTATATGTACCACAAGTACATATACATGGACATGCACTCTCCCCAAAGGGTCCGCTGTAGAATACTAGACAGGTGAGGTATAGCCCATGAGTCTGGGAAACACCACAGACCTTGGCCCCATCTTGGAAAGTCACTGCATATATTAAAGCATATTAAAGGCTCTGAAAAGTCCTGCAGTAAAGAAATTTTGCCTGGCTTTATTTACCCACTATCTGATGAATTCTTTTGGTTCTGTGATCACAACTGCACCTTGAGGCAACCTGTGGCCCTTCCCTGGACTTCAAGTATCTGCTTCTTTTCTGCCTCAGCATCTGAACCCAAATGCCCAGTGGGGGCTGCAGGTTGGTCCAGTCTCAGTCAGATTTCTTCCATAGACCAGCTATGCTTGAGGGATAGGAGACAAACCCATGGATGCCCCTTCAGAAGAGGCAGGGTGTGTGTGTGTGTGTGTGTGTGTGTGTGTTAATTACAGGCAGGTAATTACAAATACAGAGGAGATGGCTGACAAATACTCCCCACTGTGACAACCATACCACAGACCCCTTCTCATGGAACTGGGGGCAACATCCTGTGTCACCACATGTGAGAAGCATGTGAGAAGGGCCTGTCGACTCCCATCCAGCCCTGGCCTTTTGTGGGTGGTCTCTCCTCTGTGGGCCAAGGCTCTGGGTACAGCTGGGAAAGGCTCTTGGCTCACTGCTCTAAAGAGCCCCCTAAGTCCCAGCCCCTTATCATAGAAGATACCCTTTATTTTTTTGTGTGTGTGTGTTTTTTTAAAGATTTTATTAATTTATTTGACAGAGAGAACAAGAGAGCACAAGCAGCGGGAGCAGTAGAGGGAGAGGGAGAAGCAGGCTCCCCGCTGAGCAAAGAGCCCGATGCAGGGCTCGATCCCAGGACCATGGGGTCATGACCTGAGCTGAAAGCAGACGCTTAACCATCTGAGCCACCCAGGCGCCCCAGAAGATACCCTTTAAACAGAGTCTGCCATGAAAATAAACTTTGAACGTGACTAGACACGATGGCCTCTCAGGTCCCTTTCCGTGGTTCTGATGTGTTGAGTTCGATGGAGGGGATTTGGTCAGTGTGGCAAAGTGGTTGAGTTTGTCACATTTAAAAATCATCTTTTGATCTGTTCATTCATTTGTGGCCAGAACATCAGCTCCACGAGGACAGGGACATGGTCTGTGTTGTTTGCTGATGAAGCCCCGGAGCCTAGAACCATCCGGATGCATAGGAGCACCTCGATAAATATTTGTTGAACAAGTGAATAAATATTTCCAGTCACAGGCATTTTATTTACTACAGCTTTTATATACCACAGAATATGTTTCCTGTTTCAAAGGTAACTTAGCATTTTTGTAAATGTGCCTATGCTTTAGGGAAACTTTGGGTAATTGTTATGAAACCTGGAAGAGTGCTGCACCTTTTTCACTTTCGTTCACTTCCCGCTTTTTTTATTTCTAATTATACCTCCTCTGCTTACCAAGTTTTTCTCTGGCTTTACGAGGACTGGCTTCCTCTCTCGATCACTTCTGTGTACTATAGCACAATTTTACCACTTTAGGGGCATTTGAAAAAATGACTCGATCTGCCTTCTCAGGTGTTTTACCTTTTAAATTCATTTTCAGTTTATGATTTTCATATTCATTTTCAGTCCACTCTACCTACTTAACCATTTTTCACTATTTTCGAATTATCCTTTTTTTCTATTTTAGCAATTTGGATATATTCTTCCAGATGCAGAAAAAGATCCAATGGAATGGAAATCCTGACAGTTTGTTTGTTTGTTTCTCTAGAAAGAACAGTCAGATTTCAAATGTTATTTTAAAACAAAACTATGAAAGACAAGCAGGGAGGGCACCTGGGTGGCTCAGTCAGTTAAGTGTCTGCCTTCGGCTCAGGTCATGATCCCAGGGTCCTGGGATCGAGTCCCACATCGGGCTCCCTGCTCGGCGGGGAGCCTGCTTCTCCCTCTCCCTCTGCCTGCCGCTCCCCCTGCTTGGGCTCTCTCTCTCTCTCTCTCTGTGTCAAATAAATAAATAAAATCTTAAAAAAAAAAAAAAAAGACAAGCAGGGAGGACATGGGAGACGTATTTTCAAGACCCACACTATTAGGTATTATTTTATCTTTCACTTCTCAGTGCACCAACATGTGGGCTGGCAAGGGCCTTTGTGTTTGGTTGCAAATGCAGAGCTGTGGGGTCCACTGTGGCCCCAAAGTCAGCAGGCCACAGGGCCCTGGGCAGGTGGGCTCATAGCTCCCTGCCTCAATTTCCCCATCTTTAAAGAGGACACAGTAATAGTACCCGCCTTCCAGGCCAGTTGCCAAGAGTCAATGAGACAACGGAGCCATGCCCCTGGCAGGACCTGGCACGCCGTGCAGGCACGGGAAGGTGCTGGTTCACATCCCTGCAAAAAGCTGGGTCCTCCCTTTGACGAACGGGTATCCGAAAATATAAAGATGGCATCACAGTCTGAAAAGTCTCAAGTAATCAGAAATAGTCACATTGAACCAACTGTCATATTGACCAATTTGTTTTTGATGGATTTAAAAAAAAAAAGAGACACAATTTCTAAAATTACATAAGGCATGTCCATCACCCCATGACTGGATAACCAAAGTATGGTGTATCCATACAATGGAATGTTATTCAGCCAGAACAAGGACGGAGGTACTAATACATGCTAGAAGACGGACGGACCCCAAAAGCAGTGTGCTAAGTGAAAAGAAGCCAGTCACAAAAGGCCATGTGTCCTAGGATTCCATTCACACGAAGTGTCCAGAGCGGGGAAACCCACAGACTAGCGGCTCCCTGGGGGCAGGGGGCAGGGAGGACTGTGGGGTAGGAAGGGAGAGCTAAAGCATACGGGGTGTCTTTCTCGCCTGAGAAGAAAGTTCTAAAATGCACTGCG